GGGGGGGGGGGGGGGGGGGCAGTTCTGTGACAAGGACTCACCTCAAGCCAGCCTCGCTGCTTGCTCCTGTACACGAGCCGCTTTCTGCGTACCGCGTCGGGGGACACGGAGGACGCTTCGTGCCCGCCGGGGGGGAGGCTCGCGTCCGGGAACTCGGTCGTCAGGGCCACGTGGTCCTTCCACATCTCTTGGGTGCGCGCACCGACCCGCAAAACCTTGGGTCGATCAGATTGCGTAGCAGTCATTCACATGCAAAGCGGTAGGTACCGTGGTGAGTAGGCTTGTTGTCGTTGGTGGTGGTGGTGAGTACTATAATAGCGCCCAAAGCCGCTTGCTGCCTGCCGAGCGTGTGCAGTGGCGCACCCAAGGTTGGCTGGCTGCCATGGTCTACATAGAAAGATACAGTAGTGTCAGGTTTCTTTTCGGGTGGAGGCCGGCGCTGTTTTTTACTGTATCTTCAGGGGTAACTACCTGGTTGTTACAACGGCAGCAGAAATATACTGGTACAGTAGAGGTCCCTGTTTAAGGCCGCAAATTTAAGGCCGGTGGCCCTTTTTAAGGCCGGTGAAATCGTCTGTCACACTTTCCTTCCTTTTTAAGGCCGCATAGGCCTTAAACAGGGTTAGTCCCTATTTAAGGCCTATTAGGGCATCCGCGCACCCTATATAAGGCCGGTTTTGGTGTGACGCACCCAGTTCTTCGCCAGCATTATTCAAGCCGCAACACAACCACTCCAGAGATCTACACAACAGCAATACCTAGCGCATACCCCTACCGACCCAACCAGTAGGGGCACACATGCCTTGTGCGGCTGGTGAACTGTGCCAACTGCCAGACCGTACGCCAGAAGCCCCTGACGGCCACCAATGTCACGGAGGGTGTGGCGGCAGACTGCACGGACTGTGTGGGGAACAAGACCAAGATGCGGAGTTCGAAACCGCCCGCATCTGCTATGCGTGCATTGCCTCCAAGCAAAAGCAAAAGGCTAGTGATGCCTCCACAGCTGGCAAGGGCTCCACAGCTGGCAAGGGCAAGCGCAAAGGGTCAGCCACGGAGAGCGGAGACACGGCAAGACCAAAAAAAACGAAACCAGCCAACCACCCGGACATGACTGGTTCGCGGACGCGGATGGACATCGGCACCAAGATGGAGATCCTACGTCTGCTGGACAAGGGCACGCGGACGCAGAAGTCGATCGCAGAGCAGTTCAACTGCGGGGAGCGCACGGTGCGTAACGTCAAGGCCGAGCGGGCGAAGATAGAGAATCAGGCCGCCAAAACTCGCAGCAGCGCCACCTCAAGGAAGAACCTTCGGGCGGGGGATTTTCCCGAGGTATGCTAGAGTATGTATTGATTTTTTTTTTGCAGCCTGAATTGTACCACTCGGTGTTGATTTTTTTTTTTTGTCAGCCTGCCGTTTGTACCACACGCGGTTGATATCGCACTTTCAAGAAAAATCGCAGTGCTTCATGTGTGCAAATAGCGACCCCCCCCAAAGCAGTCTGGATTATGCACGGAGATTATGCTTTGCGCGGTCAACTGCATTGGAAGCACCACGAACATTTTTCATCTGATGCACCACCCACACACGACAAAAAAAGGCACAAACATATTTAAATTTATACACATTTTTTTCCACTGCTCATTTTATCTGCATGTGCATTTTGGCTAGGGTGGCGTGAACTTTCGTGCTGGTGCGTAACTTTGTGATATTATTCATCCGTGAAAGCAGTACCGTTCTAACCCGCGCACACCGATTTGAACCCTGTGGTGCTTGCTGCTGACTTTGTACAGTTGGATTCTTTAGTTTTGGACCTCGTCAACAAGGCGCGGATGGCGAAGTACACCGTCACCCGCAACGTTATCCGATCGTTCGGCCGCTCTGCCAAGGCCACCCTGTTGGGCTCGGAAAAAACGACTGACTCCGTGAGGAAGAGGCTCGAGGACTTCAAGGCTGGCGACAAGTGGAGCAAGAACTTCGTGAAGCGCAACGACCTCCACAGCCACAAACTTCATGGGACGGCCGGCAGCGTCGACCACGACCGCATCAAAGAGGGCATGGAGGAGGTCCGCGCTGCTTGCGAGAAGTACCCGGCGAGGAACATTTTCAACGTCGACGAGACCGGCATCCAGTGGAAGCTCATAGCCAGGAGGACGTATCTTGCCGCGTTCGAGGCACTTTCGTCGCACTTCGGGGCTCTGGAGGCGGCAGCGGAGGGGAGCGGCAACCATGACGCCGCTTTCCACATTCAGAAGGCCAAAATGGCAATGATCGCAGCGCATGGTTCGAAGGCAACGAGGCAGACAGACATGAGGCAATTTTTGTAGACTCGATAGGCGCAAGGGGGGAGGCATCAGTTGAGTGTGGTTCTCACGCGTCCGGTGTCATGTCCAGTTTCATCCTTGTATTTCCAACTTTCGTGTGCCGTTGTTAGTGTATCTGGGGGTGGAGAGGTCGGGCTGTTCGATTTTTGTGTCGACTTTGTGTTCGACGGGTAAGCACCAGTTGGTCAGTCGGTGCAACATGTGCATTTTTCCATGGTTGTTGTGTTGTGCAGATCGTCGGACTTTTTTTTGCTGTGGGCGTCCTCTCATTCTGATCAGGATTGGCAGTATTATTGTCGACCTTCACGAGGGTGTCACTCGATGAGATATGTATGTACTTCGCACGTACCAAGTGAAATACTTCTAATATACTTCTACATATTTTCTGTTGACGTCAGCTGCGGCAGCAAGTAATACATATTTGGAAATATGCAACATCATTTTTTGTCACGACTTGTGCGGCAATATTTATCTTTCATGTATAGCGTGCTTCCTGCGAGCCTTCAGACAAGTTGGGGCCCGCCACCGTCCCGAAAGGCTTGAGTGCAGCATCAATATTCCTCAATAAGGCCGGTATCGGCCTTATTGAGGAAAACTCAATCCTCTATAAGGCCGGTACCGGCCTTAAACAAGACCCGTTCCCAATAAGGCCGGGTGCCCTATTTAAGGCCGGTTATTTCGTCTGTCACAGGGCGGCCTTAAACAGGGACCTCTACTGTACAGCTTTTGGGGGCCAAACAAGGAACACGAGGCTAGCCAGGAGGGAGGGGTTGCGAGGATACAAGGATACAGCTGACCAACGCACCACACACAGCAGTATGCACCAACAGCAAATCGCGGGGGGGGGGGGGGCAAGCGCCCACCCCCAAGAGTCTTCTTGTGGTACACCATACGGAGTATACAAAAAAGAAGCAGAAACAGAGACGAGTTTTATTTTTAGAAAGTATACATAACTCACAGAAAGACCATACATACACCAACAACAAGCGTCATCTATAGAGGAGAGCCCAGAGGATAAAACTTAAAAATAGCATTGGACACAGCACAAGCCTTCGCAGTTTTATTGTATCCAGCAAACATGTTGGATAAAGTATGCAATCGGGGAAGTTGGGTTAGGGGTAGGGTTAGGGAATACGGTCTGCGTCCCCCCTCCCTGTTCTATTTCCTCATAAACTTGTTTATCGCGCAAAGGCGGTCCATCGGACACCACCGAGCGCGTGATGGACCGTTACACCCGCGCGATGCAGGCGGACTACATATCTCGAGGTAGGTGTGAAACCAAGCAGAACCGTCGGCAGGGTTTGCTTGCCACCTCGCTACTACAGCAGTAGCCACTACTAGGCACCATAAGTTTGCTGCTCAACGCAAGCCCGTGCTCGTGTAGGGCAGGTCCGCCGCTGCCTGTTTTGTTCCTGCGATGCTGCTGACTCGATACTATATATATATATATATTCTTAATATGACACAACGAATCCATCTCTATCATAGAAAAGAGTCTGAGACAGATAGCAATGAATTCATAGCGTCAGATTTTCTATTTTCATGCCCACGCTTGCTGGCAACTGGCAACTACTAGAAGCGGCCCTATCACTTTACCGGTCGTTTTCGCAGATATGCAGTACATACATAGATTGGGTCAACAGCTTTAGCATTGACCCATGTCTCCACCGAACTACCTTATAACTCCAGCTTACCTCCTCTGGGGTGAGCTCACGCTGCAGCTCATCTCCACCTGACCCCGGTTGCCTCTCTCCCTCCCAGTCCTTCGCTCCGCCGGCGGCGGTGCTGAGTCGCCGGTAGCACCGCACCGCACCTTCGCCTCCTCCGCAGCATCTGATTGTTGCTACCGGTATTCTCGCCGCCTGGGCAACGACCGCCTTCATCCCTGCAATCATCATCTCTCCCTTCCCTGGTCAGTCAGGCGCTGATGTGTTTGTATACGGCGCGAAGTGTCGTGCTTGGCTACACGACGGGACACACCTAGACACACCTCGCCAGCACGCAACTCTTGAAGGGGATACCTGGACGTGATCGCGTCCATTTTGGGGGTGCATGCACCCTCTCAGCTGGCGGTCCCCTCCGCTGGTTTGCAAGCGGAACAGCGCACTCTGTTGTCCGTGTTTGGTCTGTCGAAGGAGAGGCGAGGAGATTACTTCCACAACAGTAGCTGCTCGAGCATCGTCCAGCACACTCCGCGGTTGGGCTGGGGGAGAAGCATCGGCGGGAGCGCATTTGTTTCCGGTCAACCAAGCAGAACCCAAGAGCTATCATACCAGACATCAACCAACACCCCCCCGCAACGGACAAAACGTTCCAGCAGACGCTGGGAGAAGGGAACAACCAAGGTTACTTGGCCCGGCCTGAGAGCGCGCGTTGCGGCTGAGCTGAGCATTTTTTTGTTCTTCCCTCCGAGACCATGACTACGCGACAAGCGGAGCCGTACGACCACCTCTTCAAGCTGTTGCTGGTGGGAGATGCTGCTGTTGGAAAGAGCAGGTAATGGTAGTACCGCCGTGTAGTGAGAGAGCGGTAACATCAGTCTCTTGACTACTTGTTGCGTACAGTCGAAAAGGCTGCCGTCTGTCGCTGTTATTCTGCAGCACCAGCAGAATAGCCGCCCTCCCGCGGCTGCCAAAGACTGGCTTTCCAATCCTCCGGCCTCCAAACTGGAAGGTGCTACGGTTTCGTCCGCTCGCCGTGGGGAACGAACGCGTTGAAGTTTCAATAATTCCATTTTTTTTGTGTTTTCTCTCTTGCCGAGAACTGCTGTCGCCCGGGAAGCGGAAGGGAGCCAGCCCCCAAGCTCTGGTTGTGCTCGTCCGTCCCTTTGTGTGTAGCCTTTGCACTAATGTACTGCTGTTGTAGTGCTCTCTGCGCCACTGTTTTTTGGCCTCGAGGCTGGGACATGTTTATTTCCTTTAAATACGAAATAACGACGGAGTGAGGAAGATTAGGTTCTACTTCTTCACAAGAAAAAGCAAAATATTTCATTTCAGGATGCGTTGTAGCAGCAAGTCAATCGCGACTTTTGGGTATTTGCCCACGCGCAAAATAGTTAACAGTGATTGTGGCGGTGGTTTTTCCCCCCCCCCCCCGCCTTTCTGGCTGGAACAGCATCATGTTGCGATTCACAGACGACACTTTCGACGATCATCTGCAGAGCACCATCGGGGTCGACTTCAAGGTGGGCATCTACGTACGTACACGTTTGATTATACAAGGTGTAGCCAGCCACCCTCTTTTTGGGAAGTATGTATAAATAGAAGAGGATTTGACGAGAGATAGTCAAGGCATGGAATTAGGCTCACCCCCCATACATAAGGGGCCCCAACCACAAATGGTTTAGTATTAATGTTTTGCGCGAAGCACGAAAAAGAAGGGGCAGAGAGAGAGAGAGAGGCAAGCAGGCGTAGATGGATGTGGATGGAGCCTATGCCATCACACAGAGGCCACCGCTGCCACTGCACACGCTCACACCTCACCCGCCACCACCAGCCAGACGTGAACGCAGGACCTCTGCTCTACAGCAGAGCGGGGACGAATGAGTGTTGTTTGATGGTGTGGACGAGAAGCTCTCAAATCTGCTGCTGCTGCTGCTGCTGCTGCTGCTGCTGCTGCTGCTGCTGCTGCTGCTGTCTGCGTGGATGTGCACTACTTGCTTCGCTCGCTAACGATGCCAGCAGCAGGCAATAGGCTCTAAGAATCGCCCCCGACGCCCCCTATGTGTGTATTATTTGGTCGCCCTTGGCCTACAGCAGTGCGCACGTCTCATTGTCTCTCTGTTTTGGGGTGTATGTCTGTTGTGGATCCAAAGATCGGCCTGCCGGCAGACAACGACGAAGACAGATCGCAGATTGATTTGACTTGTGTACACTTGACAAACATTCCAGGGCAACCCCCGCCTGCTGAGCCCCTTCCTGAGCCCGCTGCACCTGGCCACCAAGGCTTCGCCTCCAACGAGCACCAGCAATGACGTCGCGCCTGCATCCGGGGAGGGATACGGCGAGAGTCCAAGTAGTCCGGACCAAATCTCTCTTTCAAGCAGCGTGCTCGTGCTCGTGCTCCCTCAAATACGCCGCTTGAAAGAGAGATTTGGTCCGGACGACTTGCACTCTCGCCGTATCCCTCCCCGGATGCAGGCGCGACGTCATTGCTGGTGCTCGTTGGAGGCGAAGCCTTGGTGGCCAGGTGCAGCGGGCTCAGGAAGGGGCTCAGCAGGCGGGGTTTGCCCTCTGGGAGTGTTTGCATTGTGTTGGGTAAATGAGTCCCCAATACTGTCTGCCCTGTTGTGTTGTTTTCGTCCAATAATGTATTATGGCGACAGTCCCCCATTTTTCGTGGTGAAACGCGTACTGCACAGTTTCAGTGTATGTAGAGTACTGCACTTTTCTGTGTATTTTCCGTACATCTACAACCATCCAGGGTCACACAGGAGGGGGTGAACACCGGGGCTTTTTTCTCCTTTCTACATAATTTTCGTGCCCCTCCTTCCTCCTGCGGTGCGTGCTGAGTTTTTTTTTTACCGCGAGAAGGGTCCTGCCGTCCCTTTCCCTCGTCAAAGGTGCTAACGTCGAAGTTTGGTACTCACAAGCTTTTCAGCTTTTTCTCTTTCTTCACCCAAATTTGTAAATTTTCACCCCATAGGGATTCGAACTCACGACTTCTCACGACTTTGCCACTATTAGCGGTGTTACCACTAGACCACCGGGGCGAACGGGTTCTGAAATTACAGAAATACCCGAAACAGAACACTATTCCGATGATCCGGGCGACCGGGGAGAACTGTCGGCGAGTCTGCTCTAAAAGAATTTGTGATACCATGACATACGTTTGTCTGACCGGACGTGTAGCATTGATGGGGTAAAAGGGAAAATAATTTTGAGCCACCTTTGGCAAAGTAAGAAGGAACAATTGGCCATCGGTGATCGGTCCTGTGGGAACAAGGAACAATGCTCCGTCCCCTCGAGAACGCGCGGTCAATCGTCTAACAGCTAACAAGGCTACAAAACATGAGTCTCCCCCTCCCAGTGGGAACAATGTTCCGTCCTCTCGAGGACATGGGTTCAATGGTTTAACAGCTTGGGCATGCAAAAACTTGAGAGAACCCCACCACCACCACCACCATTTCGGCCGACTATTTTGTGAAGACTTCTGCGTTGATTTTTTGTGTTTCTCCGCAGGAATGGAAACACTTCCAAGGACATGTCGACCAGCTGGTACGGAGGGGTAGAAGCTTCGAAAGCAGTCCTGTTTTGACGATGGTTAAACGCTTTGGAATGGAGAGAGGCACCTGTTTCTTCCCCCCTCTCCGGTCACACGCATGGTAGTTGTTGACGAGACTAACTCACAAAACGATTCCTGAGCTGTTCTACCGAGACACAAATCAAGGGACGGGTCATGTGTCCGCTGTGCGGAGCACGTGTATGAGGTTTTGAACCATTAGCAACAATAGCCACATGAACAATACTTAAGAGCTCGTCACGCGAGCATCCACAGCAGCAACCACCACCACCACAAACAACAACAACAACAACCGCAGCAGCAGCAGAGCAGCGACAACAAAAACAACCACAACGATTAACCACCTACTTCCTCTTCCCCGTCTACAGGTGAAAATGGTCGATGCGGGGGGCAAGAGGATAAAGATGACGATCTGGGACACCGCTGGGCAGGAGCGGTTCCGCACGTTGACGAGCTCGTACTACCGAGGGGCACAAGGGATCATGCTCGGTGAGCAAGGACGATCGACTGTCTATAGTGCTGTACAGAATGCATGCAGAGCTGTCGGGGCGCCACAGTTCCCTTTTTCTGTACGGGAGGCGGGTGCCTCGCGGCTGGCTGCTTCCGTGCGAGCTAGAGTTCATGCACTCGGCCGTTCACCCGTAGGCATCCAGCCGCGTGGCACCCACTCTCCCTACAAATAGTAGGAGCAGGGTTAACCCAGGACCTCTCCTCCCATTCGTTGGATGGGCATGGCGACTCTCACTGCGGAGGACGCCAGGTTGCTGCTGCTGGTGCTGGTGCTGGTGCTGAAAGGCAATCCTAGCCCGGGGGTCAAAGTCACCTCGCTGTCGCAGAATTATGAGCCGATCCCTAGCCGACGGAGGGCTGTAGGCGTGGCGTGAGGGACATACGCGGGAAACAAGGGGAAGAGGGCGGGGTGCAGGACGTCTCGCAAAAGAGCGAAGTGTATTGTAGTTCGAGTGCGGCAGAAAACTCTCTAAATTTACATGTGTAATATATTCATTTTTTTTCTAGGCTAAGCGTGTGTTACTATTTTATTTTTTATTCTTGTGGGCATGCAAGTTGTGTGGTGGATGGCCTATTATAGTGCCTCCTCAGCGCAGAACTGTTTTCATCCTCAACACACGTGGATTCCACCTCCTGTTGCGGATTGGATGACATCGCCTGCTGCCTATTGCCTGTTGCACATGAACAATTCAACCACCTAACCACTCTATTGCGCCCCATCATTGATTCCCGCCAAACGATGGGAGTTCCACCGCAAACCACGCGCCACGTACCCGCTTATCGTGAAAGGGTAACAGTTGCGTCAGCTCTCAACTCCGGCTCGGTCTGTGCGTCGCCACCCGCTCAAGATGTGGTTGCTTTCGTTCAGCATGACACCGTTGGGGCGAGACTGTATGTGCTTGGCCGCTACCACCGTGATCGCCAGCGTTCACTGACGGCGAGGGACATGGCCGTGGTATAGTAGAAGTCCCTGTTTAGTGCCGGTATGTGCCCAGAAATTCACCGGCACCATACCAGACCGGTACTATTCAAAGTTTTGAGGATGACTTGGAAATGCAGTACATACGCAAATGTACCCGCCGAAAACATCGTATGGCACTCTACCGGGCACCCGCCCTATTCAACCGGCAGTAAACAGGGACCTCTGCTGACTGTATTGTTTTAGGGGTGGTGCCGAAAATAACCACCTTGCCTCTCCCAATCTCTCCCCCTAGCGTTCTTTGATGCTGGACGTGACCCTTGCTGTGCTTTCCGCCGCCCCCCTTTTTTGTATTCGTCCTGTTTGTTTTTTTTTCAGTGTATGATGTAACGCGACCGGAGACTTTCGACAACTTATCCAAGTGGCTAGAAGAGGTGGAGACTTACCATCCTGGCAGGGGAAGGGAGGTGTGTTGATGTTGCTGGGTCTTGTCGCCGTCGTTGATTTTGTGATCATTTGTTGCTGTTGCTGTAGCTTTGTGTTGTCGTTGTCGTTGGTTGTTGTTGTGGTGATTTGTTGCTGTTGCTGTAGCTGTGTGCTGTCGTCGTTGCTGTTGCTGCCGTTGTTGTTGTAATTTGTGGCTGTTGCGTTTTGCTGTCGTTGTTGCTGCTGCTGCCGTTGTTGTTGTTTTTTGTTGCTGTTGCTTCGTGTTGTCGTCGTCGTTGTCGTTGTTGTTGCTGCTGCTGCCGGTGCGCGTATGGCTTTTGCAACCCGCCTCCCTTGGTACCGTATTTGCTCTATGGTGATGTTGTCGTTGCGTTAGCACGGCGAAACAAGCGCAGTCGTGAAGTCTACAGTTCCATTTTCTTCGACGACAACCAGCCGGCAATTTCTGTAACCCGTCGAGTATAATGGTTGCGTGCGCTCTTTTTTGTGCAAGTCTTCAGAATATGAAAATGCACAAATTTTGTTGATTCGAGACTCTCGTGTGCGGGTAATGTCTCTTGTCAACCCCCCCTCTGCATGAAATTCGAACGTCCAACAGGTAGTGAAGCTGCTAGTGGGTAACAAGGTGGACAAGGAGAGGGTAGTGACGCGGGCTCAGGCAGAGGAGTACGCGCGCAGCAAGGGTATGCTGTTTTTGGAGGCCAGGTATGGAGCACGGAAAAGAAGAACGTCATGGTCCTGCCACAACAAGCAATACGCAGAGTGGGTGGGGTCCCTGTTGAGTGCCGGCATGTGCCCAGAAAATTCGCCGGCACTATTCACAGCAGTACTGACAATGACTTGGAAATTCTGTCTGCGCCCGCCGAAAACACCGTATACCGTATGGCACAATACCGGGCATTGGCATTATTCAACCGGCACTAAACAGGGGCCCCCTTTGTAGACCAATAAGTTGCTTGGCGCATTCATGGGTGGACAAACGACAAGGGATAAGTCATAACATGCCTATCTACTTCGTACTTGGCTTGAGTTCGTTCTCGTCTCCTAGGGAAATCAGCACACTCGCGGCTCAGTGACCAAAATATACGTTGTATTGTGTGTTGTGTGTGTCTTTATTACTGCGGCATCGACCGCTCTTACCCGCAGACCAATGAAAATGGCAATCAGTGCCGCTGAAAACAGAAAATTACCATCATTCTCACCGTCGTTTTGACAGCAATTTTTCAGCAGTTCTTCTCTGGCCCTACGTCGTTTGTTGCGGGGAAGGTCATCTGGTTCGAAGCTCTTGCTGCTGCTTCCACGCCATGATCCCCTCCTCGATTGGTGTCTTGTTGGTCCATGTCTTTTCCTCCCGTTTCCCTCTCCTCCTCCTTCATCGCTGCCAAACGAATTCCCCTCATTGCCATCATGATCGTATTTATTTGTGCGTGTTTTTGTCGCCGAGATGCACGTAGACGTTATAAGGTGGCATTTGTGTCGTGACGATTGCTACCACAAATGTGATATGATTGATTTCTTGCTATCCGCCAACTCCTTGGTGCCGGGGATCGTTGAATCTGCATTGCTTGCTGGTAGATAGATGGCCCGTGTTGCGTGCTGGCTCATGGTCATGTCATTTTGTTGCTATGTATCCGCCCGCCAATTATTTGGTGTCGGGTCGCTCAAGCTTTGTTGCTTGCTGTCTGGTTACCGTACATTGTACGACACAAGATAACACACCCCCTGGACCGATTTTCATAGCTCGACTACGCCACGACGAAGAGGATGCATTAACCAAACGATATATATTTCGGAAAGCTCTCGACGAGACGGATTGAACGCCGCCGTTTTCGACGCTGTGACTCTTTCTGCTTCGAGAAATAGAGTTTTGAAAATCGATCCAGAGGGTGTGTTATCTTGTGTCGCATACGGTACTGTTTTCTGGTCTGATGGTCTTGGTCATGTCCATGGAATCAGACCCAGCAAGAGGCATTCACATGTATGTCCACGGCCATCAACCAGCCGGGGACATGACCAACGTCATCCGCCAACAAGCAGCTCGGACATGACCACCACCACGGCCACCTATCCATCTACCAGCAATGTCTCCAACGACCCGACACCAAGCACTTGGCGGATTAGCAAGAAATCAATCAAGTCACACATGAACCCCATGACACAAATGTAACGATAACAACTCCTCGGTGTGTGACAGGCTGAAGAGACCAAGACGTTGGACCACGGATGTCGAACCGCTCGAGCTAACCGACCGTCTTGATTGGCCTACCGGTTTTTTGTCGTCTACGCTTGTTCCTCCAAGGAGAAACCTCGCACGTAAATAACTTTTCTTCTTTTTTTTGCTGTCAGGGTTCACGCGGATCGGAAAATGACCTTTGTTTTTGGTTCTAGCTCTTGGCGCAGTCGTTTTCGAGCCCGGGCCATCGGTGATCGGTCCTGTGGGAACATTGTTCAATCGCCCTCTCGGGGAGACATTCAAAACCTGAATATCCCCCCCCAGCTCCGTCCTCTCGAGGAAATGGTCTCACCGCTAAGGCATGCAAATCATAGGAGTACGCCTCCCCCCCCCCCCCCCCCCCCAAGGCAT